GTGAGACTCTGTTATGAAACACAACCAAAGCTCATACTGCGCTTTGCAAATCACAGCAGCGCCCTAGGGTAAGAACGGATCAAGTGCAAGGTCATAATATGTTGCAAATGGTGCCAATCAGCACACATGCATAGTCTCGTGTTAGCAACTATGAGAGACGTGATGACAAAGGATGGATGGAGAACAAAAACGTCATTCAGGACTTCCTGGGTTAGCCAGCGGTACAGAGGGGCAGAACCGGGAACAAAGGATGTGGTGATCTTGTGGGGGCCGACACACCGGTCAGAAACTCTGCCACAAGAGCCCTGCAGTTACTTGAAAGAACTCGAGCTCGGTGGGATCTCAACATGGCAGGCTGTCTGGACTGTGTGGAAGAACATTTCCCAAAATGGAGTCTATTCAGATATCTGGTTCTAAAAACATGAATATGTGTCTGAATGGACAGTTGACAGCTGGAGGGAGCTTATAGGTTTCCCCGGTTGAAGGGCACAGTTTTAAAGTTCAACATCAGTTTGAAACTCTAGAATGTAAATGGATTTTCAGTTAAAAATGAAACCAGAACAAGTAAAAGGAGTTTCGTTTATACTCCAATGCTTAATATGAAAAAAACACAAACTCACTGCTGTCGAGGTAATTCTGACTCATAAAGACCCTCTAGGGTTTCCGAGACTCAGTCTTTAAGGAGCAAAATGTCACATTTTCTTTTGTGGAGCAGCTGCTGGGTCTGAACTGTCAACCTTGTATTTAGCAGCCAATCACTTAACCCACTGCACCACCAGCCAGTCCCTCCTTAATGTGAAAGCACGTAAAAATAATGAAAAAATGTTCAGCTCTTACAAGAAATGTGTTTGCATTTTCTATTTATCTAATCATGACCTATGGTGTCCTGGTGTGGCATTGTCAGATTAGTAGTTGTTGTGATGTGTCGTGGAGTCGATTTTGACTCATAGCGACCCTGTACAGGGTTTCCGAAGCTGTAAATCTTTACGGGAGCAGAAAGCTTCATCTTTTTCCCACAGAGCAGCTGGTAGTTTCCAAACTGCTGACCTTGAGGTTTGCAGCCCCATTCGTAACCACTACGCTACCAGAGCATCTTACCGGACTACAAACCACAAAGTCAGCAGTTCAAACTCACTGCTTGCTTCTTGGAAACTCTGTACACGGTTGCTATGTGTTGGAATCAATTTGACAGAACTTTGGAGTCCTGGTGTGCCACTGTGGGTTAATGTGCCAGACCGCAATGCCATTTGAACTACAAGGGCAGCGGTTCAAGTTCACCAGCTGCTCCTTGGAAACCCTATACAGGGTCGCTATGGGTCGGAATTGACTCAACGGCACTTGACAACAACAACAACAAGAAACAACCATCATGACCCATGGACTCCTGGTGTGGTGCTGTAGGAGAAGCATTGCACTGCTAACTACAAGGTCAGCAGTTCAAACCCACCAGCTGCTCCTTGGAAACCGTATACAGAGTTGCAGTGAATCAGAACCTACTCCAAGGCATTTAACAGCAACAGCAATCATGACTTGTAACATGAATCCATGGTGGAAGTGTGCACAGTAAATGGTTAATTCTGCTTTGCTTATTAAATTAGATTGAAACAACATTGGCACATGACCTAACAGCAGAATGGGACTGTAACCCCAGCTCTCCGACCTCTAAATCTACTTTCTACTCTGTTTTCTGCCATCGTCCATGCTTCTCAGCATATTGGAAAATACCTTGATGATGTTGTTGGTTGCCATCTGGTGAGTTGGCCTCATGATGAGCCAGGTAACAGCACAACCAAATATTGCCTGGCTCAGCGCCATCTTTGCTGTGGCTGGTTCACTTGGGTTCTTTGTTACAGATACTGTGCCTTTTTTAAGTCCCTGCCAACCCAGGGGCTTGTTGTCCAGCAGAGATGAATGATATTTTCTTGCCATCCATTGGGTTTCCATTGGCTGCTTTCAAAAACAGCTCTTCAATCCCTTCTTCCTAGTTCGTCTTAGTCTCCACTGAAACCTGTCCACCAAGAGTCACTCGATGATGTTTGAAATCTTAGTGGTACATAGCATTTAGCCTCGCAACAACACACAGGCCACTGTAGTGTGACGTGGTGGTGGTGGTGGTTATGTGCCATAGAGTTGGTTCCCACTCATAGCCACCCTGCATAGGGTTTCAGAGGCTGTAAATCTATACAGGAGCAGAAAGCCTCATTTTCTCCCACAAAACAGCTGGTAGTTTCGAACTGTTGACCTTGAGGTTCACAGCCCAATAGGTAGTGGTTTGAAATTATAGGGGTCTAATGTAAGAATATTGGAAGAAGTGCAGCCAGAGTGCTCCTTGGAATCCAGGATGGCCAAACTTTGTCTCTCATACTTTGGACATATTATCAGGAGGGACCAGTCGCTGGAGAAGGATATCATGTTTGGTAAGGTGGAGGGTCAGAGAAAAAGAGGAAGACCCCCAATGAGATGGATTGGCCAAGTGGCAGCATTGATGGACTCAAGTGTGGCAACAGTAGTGAGGTTGGCCCAGGATTGGGCAGTGTTACGTTCTGCTGTGCATAAGTTCGCTATGGGTCGCTACCAACTCAATGGCACCTGACAACAACAACAACTATGTAAGAACAGTTCTGGTGTGGCACTGCCATGTGAACACTAGACTACAAGGTGAGTTTGAACTGCAAAAGAGTAGACATGTGAATAGAAATTAGAAGTAAGCCCTGTCACGGTGCAGGTGTTAGGAAAACAACCTATGATGAACTGTTTTCCTGTCGCTGTAACTGGTCTCTCCCCAGCCACGCTCCGAATATATATGACTATATGCGTCTCATTTATTTCTCACGGCTAAGGCGCTTTCTTATTTCAAAATGTAAAACCTGCAATGCCTCCCACTCGTGTAGCGGTGAAAGCGTCAGCTGTGGAGGGTTCCGTGGATTGGGACCCAGTCTTCAGTTCCTGCTTATTTCGGATTGCATTGCTTTCTTGATAGGTGCATTCTTCTTCCATCTGGCTTCCATCCTCTGGGAATCTCTCTGCCAAGGGAGGCTTAAACAGCAGCGCATTTATATTTTATAAACGTTGCCTGCACTTTTATTTCCTGATTGTTCTGTTCTGACACCTTTCAGAGTCCCCTGTTCCATAAGATGAGAAATTCCGAATTCTCTACAAGGGTCAGCCCAATACTTAGTCTCAGTCCTTTCTGCCTGCCTCTCTCCTCATTTAGCATTTTCATCAAAGCTCCTTTTTTGGTGACCCTTCAGTCATCACGTGATCCCTGGGTACCACAAATGAGACTCTGAGTCCCACCCCCCCAGAGGTATCTTGGAAGAAATCCGGGTGGTGTGCTTCTGGCAAAGCAGCCACGGAAAGCCCTGTGGAGGGCTCTTCTCGCCGGGAACACGGGACACCACTCCACACCATGTCCCTCTCCTTGTCTTCTCCGTTTCCTCCTTGCCTGACCATTGAAACCCTCGGATCTGGAAAACTGAGATCTACCACGTCTCAAGCTGTAGGCAGGGCTTCAGAGATGGAGCTGGAAGTTTAGGGTTGAAGCTGCAGGCGGGGCTTCAGAGATGGAACCGGAAGTCTAGAGTTGATGCTCATTGGCCAGCAGTAGGAGTAAACCTCTGACTCACAGTGCTGCCCCTGTTTTCCTCCCAGATCTGGATCTCTGTGATCCTGCCATGCACCTCCCTCTGCAGACCAGCTGCCTGTGTTCAGTTATCCACATGTTTTTCCCCATCCATGGCTCCTGTCTTATAGGTACCAGTCATTGTCTCCTCTTCCGGGAACACAGAAACAGAGAAGCCATGCTGGGCTCCACCCTGGTGCAGTGACCAACTCATCGTGTAGATGGATGAGCAAATGAGCACACATTTGCCTTGAATGCTAGAAAGGAGAACTCATGGCTTTATGGGAAGGGTCGGGGGAGACCACATTTAGTTTAGGGGACAGGAGAGTTAAGTAAAGTCTTTCCACCTGGCTTTTTGTTTCAGATATGGTAAGTTACCCAACAGAACAATGAGAGAAGAACACTTTCGAACAAGACAAGAACATTTTTGTTGTTGTTTTTTAAACTTTGTTTCTCCTTCCTTCTCAAAGATGCTATACATTTCCAAATTTTATGCCTTTTTTTGCAATATTGGTCTTATTGCCTAAAATGCTTCTCTATACTATCTTCTATGTAGTAAAAATGGTTGCATTCCTGTTAAAACATTAAAGATTCCAACCTGCCAGATCCCTTGCCACCTCCTCTCTTTCCCCAGCCTCTTCAGCGAACATCTCCATTGTCTTGGCTGCTCTGGTGCAGCATTCTCCTGCCAGAGCTTGGCCCCTTGAAGGAGGGCATACGCTGTGTCTGGATTTGATCCAAGAGTAGACTCTCTGTGTCCTTGAAAGCAAAGACAGAAATAACCAAATCTGATACTTCAGAGACTTTGTGAAAGGAGAATACTTTGTAGGATGTCACTTCAGAAGGTAGCCTGTTCAGAACATCCACACAGAATCAGGAAGGGAATGGGTAAATTAGCAGGCACTGCTTGAATAGAAATTAAGTCAAACTAGTGGTATTTTAAGGAGCTCTGGTAGCATAGTGGTGACAAGTCAGGCTACTAACCTCAAGGTCAGCAGTTCAAAGCTACCTGCTGTTCCGCTGGAGAAAGATGAGGCTTTCTACTCCTGTAAAGATTTACAGCCTCGGAAACCCTGTGCAGGATCAGTATGAGTGGGAACTGACTCCACAGTACACCATTACCAGTGGTAATTTAATATAAATACTTGTTGAAGATGAGGTTAATTGTGGGGCACTCAAACCCGCCAGCCTTGTGCCCGCCCCTAGACCTTCTGTCCTGTCTTCCTTCTGCCTGCCGCCCCCTCCCACGTTCATCAGGTGGGACACAGGCCTGTGCCTCCTTTCCAAGAAGGTCCTTATTAGCAGTCCTCTCCGGATCTCCCCACCTAAGCCAGGATAGGTGCCCCCCCCCCAGCTCTCCTCCTCATAGAGGGTCACCATGAACACTTGTGCACTGGGGGCTGTGTCCCCCAGCAGTGCCCGTTCAGTGACAGTGAGCGAGTGAAGGAAGGAAGGAATGGATGATTATGAAATAAAGACAGAATGTCCTGAAAACAGGAAAATGAGCCAGCAGGGACTCTGTATGTGGTGCAACAGCATTTTTAGCATTCCGGGCATGATGGGTTTGTTCACATGGAGGGAGCGTGCGCGGCTTAGAGATCGAGGCCTCACTCTCCATGTGGGAGGCCTGGGTTTGATTCCCAGTCACCACACTACACACACAGCTCACATCTCTCTGACAGTGGAAGCTCATGCTTTGCTAAGATCACAAGCAGCCTCCAGTGGGGCTTCCAGACTACGCTGGAGCTAAGAAGAAAGGCCTGGTGGGCTCCTTCCAAACATCCACAGTGAGATCCCCGTGGGTCACAGTGGCGTGCTCCACAGTGATTGTGAGGAGAGGCAGTGTTTTGTTCCCCTGTACCAGGGCTGATGGGGTCTCCGTGAGGGGGAGCCCACTTAGTGGCAGCTCACAGAAGTAATAAATAGATAGTTGATCAAAGTGGGGTCACATTCTAAATGCAGTTGTTAGCACACTGCAAGTCTCTGTCAGCTAATGGCTCATGTTGCGCACCATTACTTTCCAAGGCCACCTCGTGCTTGGTGTGCGCTGGGTGCGTATTTCATGGGAGTCTGATGGGAAGTGACCTAAGACGGCACCCTGTGGAGGTGGACCTGCAGTCCTTCAGCCAATTGTTTGAAGGTGTCGGGGCTAATGGCTCTGGGAAATAGACTTCCCCATCAATGGGGTCATTGCATGCTGCGTGAAACATCATCTTTGAGTTAACCAATTAATGAAATGAGAGAGTGAAGAAACAAAACATTCACTAGGGGACCAGCAACTCACCACCCAGAGGCCCATTCATGGGAAGACGCAGATGGAAGCTTCATGAGACTGTGTGTCCATCCAGGCATGTGGCTATTGAACCTAGGGGTCTTCAAATGCCTCATTTATTACCAGCCTCTTTAGCTCTGCCTTTTTCAGAGGAGGCAGAGCCTGAGTTAAGAACCACAAAGAGACCCACCGACCCGCACCACTCCGTCAAAGATCAGAACCCCCACCTGGCTGTAGGCTGTTGCTTCTGGTTTTCAATAGCACTTCCGTTTCTTGTATTAAGTACTATAAATACAATTTTAGACTACTTTTCTAGATGACCCAAAAGGTACAAAATTGATTTCTATTATTTTGTGTTGCTGCTTTTTTCCCTTCCCCTTCTGAGAAATGAGATCAACAGAGAAGAGACAAAATCTTAACTTATACTGGAAAAAAAAAAAAAAAAGGACTCTCAGAACTGTATTTCTTCTCTGCGGTCTCATAGTGCAGGAGATCATTTGAAATGGATTCGTCTGGTTCACCATCTGTCAGAAACTCGGCGCAGCTGGTAAATGTCCAGCGGAGTTTGAACTACAATCTCTGCCTGGCCACCCTGGGTACATGTTGAGCACACGAGTTCCAACTTGATGCACAACCATGATTCTTGGCGACGTGACTGACCCTCCAACCACACTGCTTTCAGTTTCTTTTCCTTTTGGGGAGGTTTGGATTCTGAACACATCTACTTGAACCTTCAAAAAGGAACATGAACTTTTTTTCAATCTGATTTTAAAAGAGAATAGCATTGAATTCATGTCTTATTGTCTGCTGCGTTCCTGATTACGTGCAGACTCTTTCCTGATATATGAAGGGTGAGGTCCCCACAGTGCAGTGGTTAAGCATTGAACTGCTGCTGTCTGAAAGGCCAGTGGTTTGAAACCAGCAGTTGCTCCTGTGGATACAGATGTGGCAGTCTACTTCTGAAACATAGGTGGTGGTGGTGGCTGTGTGCCTTGGAGTCGGTTCTGACTCACAATGACCTGTATAGGGTTTCTGAGGCTGTAAATCTTTATGTGAGCAGAAAGCCTAATCTTTCTTCTGTGGAGTGGCTGGTGGATTTGAACTGCTGACCTTGTAGCCTAACATTACCAGGGCTCCTTTCTGTGAAGATGATATACACTAGGAAATCCTACAGAGCATCCCAGCTGTAGGGTCACTGTGTCCTGTAGGGTCACTGTGTGTTGGAATCCACTCAGCGACAGTGGATTGTTGGGGTGCTCAGTGGGAGGAGAGGAAAGTAATGCCTCTTATCCAGGGGTCTTCACGGAGTACAGTACACCAACAAATACCCCCATGGTGCTTTCTCCTCAGTGTGGAATCAAAGAGGTGAGATAAAAACTTCCAAGTCTGAGCTTTTTTTGAAGAGTGAAAGGAAAGGTTAGCTAAGTGAACTCATGACAGTCAATAGAATCAACTCTCACAGAACTCATTTGCAGAGACTTGAGACTGTGAGGCGTTCTGGTGTGACACTGTAGGATAAGCACTGGGCTGCTAACCACAAGGTCGGCAGTTCAAAGCCACCAGTACTCCACAGGAGAAAGAAGAAGCTGTCTGCTTCCAGGCAGGGTTACAATCTCGGGACCTCTGTGGAGCAGCTCTGCTCTGTCCTGTGGTAGCCATGAGTGAGTCAGTGTGAAGTCTTGTCAAAGCTCTGAGGGCAGGCACTGGTGACTTGGATAGGTTCCCTGTGCCATTCAGGAGTTCCTACTATGCAAGTCCTGTGTGCTAATGAAGATCCTAGGGATGGACAAGCAGTGGGATACTGGGAGCAGGTTCCATGCACACAGAACACCAGCACACGAGACCAACTCTCTGCGCAAGCAGATTTTAGAATGGAAAACAGAAGCGCATCAGGAAACACTGAGCACAAGAGGTGGATGCATCTCTAGCCAAGCTTGGGACACCCTCCTCGCTCATTTTCACATGCATCTGTTACTCCTTGTTGTCAGTGATTCATTGATGAATTCCCTTGGCTTCTGGCCTGCTCTCAGCCCTGAGAATACAGGTCAACTGGCAGGCATTGTTCTAGTGGTATTTGCCTAAAACAAGAGAAACATAAAACCAAGATGGAGTCCCATTAGGATGGGTGTCCTCTTGTGATTGGATGGCAGATGGTGCCCTCTGGAGGTGTGAACGAAGGAGGGAGCTGGACGGTTGTGCTTACCTGCTCAGGATGAGGGGGTGGTATTGGATTGAGGTGAGAGACGTGACAGTGGGAGAGGGGCAGTTGGGCTACAGTTTAGGGACCCTGAGGAAAGTGTATGGGCGTGCCAAAAGGAACAAAATCTAAATGGAAACACCACTACTCGATGGTGTTGTTATTACATGCCTTCAAGTTGGTTCTGACCCACAGCCACCCTGGATAGGGTTTCCAAGGAACGGCTGATGACCTTGAGTCACTGATTTTGCAGTTCAGACTTTGCAGTCCAGCACACTGGCCCACACCCCACTACTGGGTAGGAAACAGGAAAGGTTCAGTGAACAGGAGAGTTACGCTTCCACGTGCTGATTTTCACCACGTGCTGATCAAATATGTCCACTCAGGTTATCCTATCTGCTTCGGTTTTTCCTTAAATGAGACCTTCATGGACAATCCAACTGTACTCAGTGACCCCTGAAAACCATTCTGTGGGGAAGGCCAAAAACCAAGTCCACTCAATGTGACATCTGCCTGGACTTGAGGGCCCCTCTTCCCAGGGAAGTCACAGGTAAAAGGGTTGGAGAGTGTTGAGGATTCCGAAACTGAAAGTTTAAGCTAGTCTAGTTCTGAGGGAAAAAAGATGGCACTCTTTGGAAAAACGTGTGCTCAAAAGAGGCTTCAAATATGGATGTTTCCAGGTCTCCCAACAAAACCCTGTTGTTAGCCGCTGTCCAGCTAAATGGGGAGTGGGGAGAATGAGCAGTGCAGTGATGGAGACAAGGACACTGCTAGTTCTGTGTGTCTCCTTCCTTCCTTCATCCCTCCCCAACTCCTTCTTTCCCACCTTCCTTGCTTTCTCTCCTCTTTCCGTCAGCCCTCTTTCTCTCCCTCCCTTATCTCTCTCCCTGCCTCCCTTTTTCTTGGTGGAAAGGAGTTGAAACAATCAAGGCTCTTCATGTTGGCCCAATGTGTGTGTGTGTGTGTGTGTGGATCTTCTCTTGGCCAGAGTGTGATACGCCATGCTGAAGGCATGACCAGTGAGGGATTCTGCCAGGAATCACTGTTTCTGCTTTAATCTGGATGCCATCCCTTTGACTAGACAAGAACCAACATTTCCTTTGTCTACGTGGTCCCTTGTCTTCGAAGCAAAATAATTCAGAGTATGGGCTCTCTAGAAAGCTAGGCTGCGGTTTATGTGTTGATATACGAGTGTGGGGAGACGGTGGGGGTTGGGAGGAGGAACACAGCACTCATAGGTGGGCATGTAGGTGGGACCAGTGAACAGAGGCTCAGATGCACACAGGTGGATGTGAACTTGGGCTGGGTCCACCTTTGTTGATGGCTGGGATGGGAGTGAGCAGTCAGCTGAGGACATGTGGCAGCTGGACAGGAAATCTTGGGAGATCTGGATGGGGTCGGACAAGGAGATAAGAGGACTTCAAAGGGATTCCCCGCCACCTTTCTCTCTTGAAGCAGGCAGTTAGAAGAAATTGGGGCTCAGGGAGATGCTAGTAGAGGGCTCCCCAACCTCCTCTGAGGGTGGTCTTGTAAAGCCTCAGCAGAGACTGCGGCCTCCGTGTGGAAACAAGAAATCTCTCTGGATGGACTCACTCTGTCATGTGGCTCTGGCTGATCTATGAGGACACTTTGTTGGCATGGTGGGCCAGGCAGCACTGATGGCTCTCTTGTTTGTTGCTCTTCATTGTGGTCCGTGGGTCCAACGTGTGTTCCAGATGTGGGTGGGAAGAGCTATAGTGTTAGGGGAGTCATGGTGTGGAGCTGTGGGATAAAGCATTGGACAGCAAGGTTGGTTTGAACTACAAGGTCCATGGTTCAAATGCACCAGTCCCTCCTTGGAAACCCTATACAGGCTTGCTATGAGTCAGAACTGGCTGACAGCATTTAACAACAACAGCATGGTGTCAGAGGATTCTGTGTCGTGAAACTTGCCGGCATTATTTGTAATCAGAGCTGGTCTGATCCCTACGCTAGTAGCTGTGGGGCCCTCTGACCCACAGACCCTGCCCACTGCTTATCTGGGAACCACCACTGTCAGCCCTGCTCTCTGGACAAAGGGCACCAGCGTGTCCTGTCTTCTGTTCCAGCGAGAGTCCACGCAGGCTGCTTCGTGCCAGGCTGCCTCCCTGTTAGACTGACATTGTGTGAACATAAAACTCAAGGCCCATCTGCTCCCTTCGCTGCCTTCCAAGATTCCCGGGAAGGGACAAGCACACAGAGCACATCATTGTCATGGCGCGTGGCCCTGGTGTTGGGCGGCATCCTAGTGAGGGACCACACGGTACTGATGATTACAACGGTTGGCGCTTTCCTTCAGTCTCTTTGCTGCCCGGCCTTTCTCTCGGGGTTTGCCTGCTTCCCTGGTGTCGAACGCCCTAAGACAGTGACAGTAGAAGTGAGAGAACAACAAACAGGCTACCAGTATTACAGTGAGAAATCAGAGTGGACCGTCCATCAGAGCAGTCCGTGTGACAATACAGCCTGCCATCTGCCCCAGCTCCCACACCCAGACTTATCCCCTGCCATGGAGTCAGTGCCGACCCATAGGACGGAGAGAACTGTCCCAGAGGGTTTCCAAGGCTTCTCCCAGGGAAAGCACCAACCTTAACCCACTGAGCCAACAAGTTCCTGCACACTGAGTGGCCGCCCTGACATCCATTCTGCTGCCCCACCTCTCTAGAATGGTTAACCCACCACCCAACTGTCTTCCTTCCTCAGTTCTTCAGGCCTAACTCAGTCTTGGTGCTTACTGGGGTATGAATACGTGAATACCTACAGTCTTTGTTCTGTGAGACCAGGGTTCCTGTGAAGGGCCATGTAGGAAGTAGGTTCGTCTCTGAGAGAGATGTGGGTTTTTTTTCTCCAAACATTGCGAATGGGTGTTTGTTATTACAACCCTACAATTGTTTTAGCCATCGTAGAGTTCTGTAATAGCTAGGGTAACGATAACCCGTCTTTCTTCATCATAATGGCTACTGCGTGTGTGTCAATGTAGAACGCATGCTCACCAGTGCTGACATTCTGACACTAGCTGTATAGTCACTTAAGGAAAAAAATGCAAAATACTGCTCTGAATTTTCTCATTCCCGATTCTCTTTACAATGTTATATAGATAATCACTTATTCTGAATGAGGTGATTGGTTTTTACTATTAAAGAAAAAATTAAGTTTTGGCTTAAGATGATCACTGTATTGCTAAATACCACTGAGTCAGTTCTAATTCATAGAGACCATATATGTAAGGTTTATGAGGAGCGACTGGTAAGTTTGAACCATCAACTTTGCAGTTCAAACTGACCTCTTGGTCCAGTGCATACCCCACGGTGCAACACCAGGGAGCCTCAGATGAACACTTGATAAGTAACACTCCAGTGAGATGCAGGATTCGAGTTAGCACCCCGTTATAGTCTGGCAATATGAAGCCAAGAATTTCTGGCTGTGAAAATGCCTGTGAGACCCTCATCTTTAGTCTAGCACTGTAGACTGAAAGTTTCAGTGTGTGTTCATCTTTGAATTCTTCTTCGTAAACTTTCTGAGGACGTTGTCCTAGGCACATGCCATATGTCCCCAGAGTAGCTGGCAGTGTAAGAACATTCAGAACTCTGGCAATGGAACATGAGGACGCATTTGTTCCTTTAGACTTCCGGATTGTACACACTTGAATGGTGACGTGATGCATACAAATTCATGTCTCTAGTATCTTTGGGGACTTAATTCTAGGGAAGTGAGTTTTCTACAAGACTAGTTTGTTCCTTCCATTGCTAATGTCTTGTTTTTCCACATATCTGTGATGGAAGTCATCCTAGAATACCTAGCGTGACTCGCTGTCACATTCAGCAGAGGATGAGAATGTGTAAGAACCGTGCTGATGATGTAAGATGGCTCTTGTAGAATGGAATCTGACACCTCAGTGCTTGTTACGTGTCATGGTGCCTCTGCGGGTGTTGTTAGAGACAGTGTCATGTGTACTGTTCTGGAGCCTGGAGGGTCCGCATTAAGCAAACTCACCAACACTAGATGCCCCTGGAGCTGCAGGCCTCGAGGGAGAAAGTCACTAGACAATGAGCTGAGTGAAGGTGGGTGCACCGTGTATGAGGCTGCAGAGGAAGCCCAGTGTGTAGTGGGCTCTCGGTGGTGGAGTAGTGAGGGACGGGTGAGCAGTGTCCCCAGGGTGGGGTGTGCAGTAGGAGCCAGGAGGAGCTGGCGGAGACTGAAGGAGGAAAGAGCTGTGGTGGCCGGAGCAGGGCTGAGGAAGCTGGTGAAACAAGGCATCAGAGACATCAGGTGGTAGGCAGATGCAGACACCATGCCCCAAGCTGCATGAAGTGTCTCCTGGCTGCTGTCCTAGCATTGGTGTGGGGGCAGTGAGGCGTGGCCGCTGGACCAGGTCTGCAGCTTCACCCTGCTGCTGCTGCTTCAGCAGGGTACCATGGAATCATTTTTCACCTTACAGCGACCCCATGTGACAGTAGAACTGCCCAGGGGATGAGCTATTCCTGTAGATGAAGACATAGGCCTGGAAGTGGTCTCCCAGAGTGGAGTCCTGGGCCTGTCTTCCTGTAGATGCTGGGGAAGCAGGACTGTCTACAGACTGAGAGCATGCTCAGAAACAGGAGGAAAGTGTGGGAAGAAGGTGGGAGAGACCACTTCCCTGCGGGGTTGGCTGAGTCAGATGGGGCAGGTTGTTTTCTCACTGGCCAGGACTTTGCAAGTTGCCTGTGACTCTATGTTCTTCCTTAGCCAAACTATTTCCTAGTTGTTTAGCCTTGGACGAGTCAGATTCCTATAATCTCCGTGATCCTCTGTCCCCAGATCACGTGAACACTGAGGATCCCAGGAAACACTGAGGAGCAAAGCTGCTTCCACCAACAGCCTCCCTTTCACTCAAGGTTCTCCACCTTTGGGATCAAGCATGTGGTTACGGACCCCACTCTTAGAAAGAAGAGCTGGGCACTGGTTCTGTGATTCGTTGTAATTGGCAGAGTTGAGTTGCCTAAATACTAAGCATCTGCTAAATGTTGTACCATTGATTTGAAAAGTTCGCTAATTCTTTCAACACTTCCTAATCATGACTCAAACATACTGAGTGATTTCTTTCTCTTCTTTTCAGAAAAATGTGACGAGCCCCTTGTTTCCGGTCTTTCCCATGATGCCTTCAAAAGCTCTTCCATTATGTCCACCAGCTACTCCCCGGGCTACGCCAGGATCAACAAACGAGGGGGTAAGGCAGTTCACATTCCTGTGATTGACAAGCTTCTTAAATAAGATGATACACAGCGACATCTCATCTGCTAGTGACGGCTTACATGTTAATATGATAATAAACAAGTCTCAGCAAAGCTTCCAATGGAGACTAGGATGAAAAGCCTGGCGCTCTCTTTCTAAAAATCAGTCGGTACAAACCCTATGATTTGACAACCACCAATGATAGGAATGGCACAGAACTGGGCGTTGTTCATTGCATTGTGTAGGATGTAACTATGAGTCAAGTTCTGATTTGATAGCTGCCAACAACATGTAGCGTCATGGTGTGGCGCTGTGGGTTAATACGCTGGACTGCAAGGTCGGTTTGAACCAACAGGTCAGTGGTTCAAGCTCACCAGCCGCTCCTCGGAAACCCTACACAGAGTCACTGTGAGTCAGAACCGACTTGACAACAACATGTATGGCTGCATTTAAAAATACAATTTGAGTTCACACTCCAAAGTATTCTCTAGTCTATTAAAAGAGTCCACAGATACAGCCAACGTCTGTGTAGCGCTACTGAGGGGAAGTAAAGGGGATCTGAGCCGGAAAGTGGGAGAGAGTAAGCAAAGAGGAAGGTTTCCAGAGTCACACACAGCAATGAATTCAAAATGGCTTCCCAACTGAGGAGCTCCCATTTGTAAAATTCGGAGTCAAGGGCATCCTTGTTACTCAGAAAGTCATTCAGAAAAGTGTGAAAGCTTTGACCCCTGTGTACCGTGTATGAAGAAGAATGCTCTCTAGCCATTGCATTTCTTTCCTTTTATTAATGTGCAAACATAGTTTCCACTGAAATGGAAGATGGAAGGACTAGGAGTTTCTTGCAATTTCCCCCCCAGAGCCCTGAACTCTGCTTTGTTATTAAGGCTGGGGATAACCGATTATACTTTACAACTACGATAGGAACTGTAGACTTTGAGGTCATGGCATTCATTAGTAAATGGTGATTTCAAAGTCGACAGCAGTTTATAGAGAGTAAAGAAATGCGATTCAGGCCAGGAGCTTAAAACAGGCCTTGTGCTTCAAAGGAACAATGGTATGGATCTCAAAGGATGACACCTTAGAAAGAAACAAGAGACGCCGAAGTGTAATATTAAATCTCAACCCACAGCCAACTCAGGGGAGGAAATGAACAATCAAAGACAAAGATGGGAAAACAGAGATACAGTAAATAAAGCTGTTACTAAAACAACAAAAAAAAGAAATAGTAGAAAAGTAAACAAAAGAGAAAGAAAGCAAGAGAAGGGGAAAATGAAAAACAAAATGATACCAGGGAAGAGAGAGAGACCAGAGAGATTCAAAATGACCAGAAGGATGGGAAAAATTGAGAGCAGTCAGAAGGAAGAGGTAGTTAAGGAAAGCTCTGCCCAGAATGTTGGAAAGGTCTTTAAGCTGCCAAAAGAACTTGCTGAAAAACAGAGATGTGCAGAAAAAGAAAGAGACAGAAATGATTTAACTTCAAAATATTGGTTAGCTAAACTCTTTATGACATGAGAGGGTGGTAAGTTACCAGAAGCTACCAGCAAAGATGGCCAAAGCATGGAACTTTTCATTCAACCCTGTTTCATAAAAGTCATTAGAAACAAATCAAATAGTGGAAATAGTAAGAAGAACATGAATCTAGAAATTAGTCATACCACCAAGCAAAAGCCTAGGAGATACACTCCTGTTAAGAACTCGATAATATGTAGAAATATACCGAGGAATAGTGGTGCCCGATGATAAGCACTCAACCTCAAGGTTGGCTTGAAATGCAAGGTCCGCAGTTCAAACTCACCAGCTGCTCCTCAGGAACCCTCTAGAGGGTCATTATGCATAGGAACTGAGTCATGGCATTTAACAACATAATGTGTTACTGGGTGTTGAAGAGGATGGAATGGTCTCCAAAGGAACATCATGATACTAGAAGATCCAAGCAGCTCCAATGAGAAGAAGCAGAGACAGGTAGTCTCCTACAGAAAGTATGGGTGGTCCTTGGGTTTTGTGAAACCCACAGCCCCTCAGGGAGCAAAAAAGCTTGAATTTGAGCCAACTACGATAGGAGTGAAAGAATGAAGGAGCGATGCTCAAAGGGATCGTGATGTGCTGAGTCTATTTCAATCTAGGACCATCCATGATCATGCAGTGTAGGGATTAAGATGTTGTTGTTAAGTGCCATCGAGTCACTTCCAATTCTGACTGTAAGCTTCATGGGAGCTGAAAACTTCATCTTTCTCCCTCAGAGTGGCTAATGGATTTCATCCACAAACTTTGTGGCTCACAGTCTAGTGCTCACCCTACAGCACTACCAGTGCCCCAATTAATGCTGTTTGTTGTTGTTGTTGTTGTTAGGTGGTGTTGAGTTGGTTCCAACCCACAATGACTCTATGCACAACAGAACGAAACTTTGCCCGATCCTACGGTATCCTCACAATTGTTGTTAACTTTGAGTCCACTGTTGCTACCACTATGTCAGTCCGTCTCATTGAGGGTCTTCCTTTTTATCACTGACCCTCCACTTTACCAAGCATGATGTCCTTCTCCAAGGACTGATTCCTCCTGACAACATGCCTGAAGTATGAGACAAAGTCTCACTGTCCTGGCTTCTCATGAGCATTCTGGTTGTATTTCTTCCTACACATAATCGCTTGCTGTTCTGGCAGTCCGTGATACAGTTAATCCTTTTCTATAATGCCTTAATTCAGATGCATGGATTATTCTACAGTATACACAAATACCAAATTGGGGAAATTAGGCAGAATGATTTTTTCTGTTGTTGCTCTCTTATTTCCTCAAACCATTTAGAGTAGAAGGTCAATAGCTGTTGTCACTTCAAAAAGTAATTGTCTTTTATGAATGGACAGCATTACAGGCATACCTTGGGGTATGAAGGGTTCAGTTCCAGACTACAGCAAGAAAGCACCTATCGCAATAAACCGAGTCGCTTGAACTCGGAGATTTCCTAGGGTGAGAAATTCTCAAGATGGTCCATCTTCAGGAATAAAGGACGCATGAGATTGCTACACCAGACATAGGTTGTTGATTCACACCCAGGGATATGTAAACGGAATGGGGGAGGGGAGGAAATAAATCTTTTCTAGGACTTCTTGTTGTTAGGTGCCATGGGGTCAGTACTGACCCATAGTGACCTTCTGCACAGTAGAATGAAACACTGCCCCATCCTGGGCCAACCTCACTACTGTTGCCA